TCTACCGTCAAGTTCACCGCCACACCCGCGTGCCGTCCATTTCACTCCAATGATGCCTCGTCCGCTCTAGAAGATGGTTGGCATACCGTGTCTCGCCGCCGTAAGACGGCCCAGTCCGGGATGCCTCACGCCGTTTCGCCTCAAAGCGAGTTTCTCCACACCGTCATATTACGAGTCACAACCAGATGCCTAAGTTTCATCTCGAACGGACAGCTTATTCGAAAGTTATAAGTGATTTTCTGAAAATTCCAATGGGAAAAATGGAGCCCATTTTTGCCTGTTTTTCGTTTCTGGTGCCATAGAGCCCCATGTATTCGAAAACTCCGTCGGCCGCTATTTTCACATTGAACTTTTCGGAAAAACACTTATAATTTTTGAAGAAGGTATCGTATTGGGCTGAAACTTTGACATCTGGTTGTACCTCTAGCGCTACCTATGGGCGGAGAATGAGCGTTCGGCGATGCCTAGTTTATTCTAGAGCCACTCTATATGGCAGCGTAGCTGCCAGAGTAGCGACACGACGCAAAATTATCTAGATATACGACGTCAGAAGCGCCTATAGTGATCTCCATTTTGGGCCTGGGAGGTTTCCATGGTAGCCGTACTGCTAGCGACGCCGGGCGGCAACCTTTATCTAGTTGATATCTCCATTCGTTAATTGAAAAGTGGTAAAAGACCTAAAAGACGATTGCATGGCGGTACGGCACGGGCCTCTGGAGAAGCGGTGCCTGTTCTTCTGTGAAATGAGAAGATTTGCAGCGTGCACGGACAAGGCGAGTGGTTTTCCGCGCCGCGTGGTGGCGGCGGCTTCGTAGGACGAACGTACCGCCCTTGTACTTTCGGACTTCGCTCCTATGGAACAATGGAACAAAATCCGATTACGCCGGCCACGACAGGACGATTGCCTTGGGACATGACTGCTGCTCGACTGCCCCATAGTAAGAGAATGTATGCTTAGCATCATACTTCTTCAAGACCCAATCATCCATTCAAGATGAGATGCCCTCACCGACTGGCGGGGAGCGACGTCGACGACGGTATCACCCCCGTTTTCGGCGATGAACAGTCGACGGGGTTAAACCAAGGACAGCATGGTGGTCTACAGAGGATTGTTAACGCCATCAAAGGACACGGACGCCGGATATCAGGTGTTCTTGCCGACAGGCCAAGTGGTCGTCCGGAAGTTTACCGGCATGCAAAATGTCTATTTTTATCTGGTGTAGTACGCATACCCGTGTTAAAGGGGCCGTGAAATGATTCTTTAACTTCTTCTTCCTTAGCTTTAATCCTCAACTCAAAAAAGAACAGTGGAATCACGCGATCGTGACATGCTAGGGCACCGGTGCATGACCCCAAGCTTCCACCGTGCTTTTTAAGCACACCATAGAACTTGACATTCGCAAGTGCACTCATGTGCACTCATTGGCCACACACTTGAATTCAAATATTCATTGACGTATTGATTGTTGACGAGCACATACGTCCAAGTGACGCAGTTTTCGTGTCAAATGCGTGAGCTGGGGTCGGCTGACGTCTTTTTGGCTTTTGTAGGCAGTGCAAAGATGATATTTAGAACCATACACACATGATGACAGCATCATAGCACACGGACATTAATCCTTACAAAACGGGTCCAGCTACAGCAAATAAATACTACACTCGTAAAAAATAATTGTCTGTAACTTGTTAATTACAAAGACGAACACACCTCAGAGCATATAAATTTAATAGTGTGTGTTGATGCATTCTTATAGGGCAGGTCATTTCATAAACACCATTTAAGCAAAAGCCAGCTTTTCAAATGAAAAAAAAAAATACTGCGATCAAATGAAAGCTATTGCTAAGAAAGTACGTTATATCAAAATCTTCAGAACTGTCAATTCGTAAAATCGTCGATTAGTACAAAAGGTTAAAGGTCGCAGGCGCTTCCTCGCTTAAAGTTGCGGTGATTATTCGGTGACCCAGGGCTGAAACAACTTCCCCCAGGCCCTACACACGACGTGTACCTTTCATTTAGATTCTCAGAAATTCCAACATTCAAAGGAAGCTAGAAAATGCGAAAATGTTATCCTAAAAGCTACATCGTAAGATCGTTGATTAGTAGAAAACGTAAAGATCGCAGGAGCTTCCTCGCTAAAAGTTTGTGATTACGCGGTTACCTGGGGCTGAAACAACTTCCCCAAGGTCTAACATGCGACGCATACAGTTCGCGTTGATTCTCAGACAATTCAACGTTCAAAACAAGGCTAGGAGTATGCGAAAATTGCATGCAAAATGTCTTATCGATCCTCGAACACATCCAGGAATACGAGCACCGCTACGGCGATATGACTGATGCTGTCGCACAGGTGCTAATATCCAGAGCGATCTTGCACAGAAAAGGTATAAAGTCACACTCTTTCAGATCTTCACGTTATACCTGCGTCAGAGAGCACGAAGAAGTCCGAAATCGTCGGCAAACAGCGGCACATTACAACTACCGCGCACCGAACAAACTCGCATCGATCAGCTCTGGGCGCTGCCATCTTACCGGTGACATCACGGCTCTTGAGAGGTCACGTGACGAGTAGTCACTCGGTTGCTAAGGAAACCGAGCCAGCTCAGCTCGTTGCTATGGTACCGCGTGTGACCAATCACGGTGAGAGGCGGCACAGGGAAAAGCGTGGCGCTACTCTGGCAGCTACGCTGCCATATCGAGTGGCTCTAGTTTATTCTTGCGGTAAAAAGAAACCCTGTATTTTTTTATTTTGTGACACCCTGCAAGTTGCTTAAACTATGTGCAAAAGCTATCAACAGACCCAGAATCTTTGCATGGTCAGTCATTGCATTTATCACCGAATTCGTATTAAAATTAATCATTATTCTTTATTGCTGTGAGTTTATTTTTAACCTCGGCATTTTTTATTATGACCCCCACACCAGTCCTACTTTGCGTTTACCTAGGGTGCCTTCACGTGCGCTTTGCTTAGGGTGGAGACATCTGGCCATTTCGTTCCCACTTTTACATTTATTTTTTGTTCAGAAGCGCGTGAAAGAGCGTGTTCCTGCACGTGTTTGCGGCGCTGACTGTGCTATGGTGACATTTTGTTTTCGTCGATTTCTTTATATTTTCCCCGTAAGCGCGTGCTGTCGGCATCGGGTACTACAAAGGGTGGCATCACTCTAAACAGAAGGTCATTGAGGCTTACTAGGTTTACCAAACTCAACACCTAAACCTGAGTGTAATCTTTTGTGTTTTCCAGTCTCGTTGTTTGGGTCAAAATAAACACCCAGCTATCTAAATGAGACACCTGACCGCCCAAAATATAGTCTTTTCTTTTAGGTAGTTAATTCCTCAAGCTAGAATTTTGGAAACCAGACTATGACGTCATCACGTTTTGCTGGAAATCCACAAAGATCCAAACACATGCACGATAAAAGGGCCGGCCTGTCATATTGCCGTCCGCAGAGCCGAGAAAGCAACGCTCGGTCAGGGACTTCTGGAAGATTCGCGTTCATTCTTGCACCAGACGGAACTTTCGCCCTGTTTTCTTGTCCTCGAAAGTGCCAGTTCATCCTCGCCCCGAACGCGCGACGCTCGAACCTTCTTTGCCGAACTTTCGAGATGGTGACGTGACGCACTCTAGATAAGCAGCTGCCAGCGACCTTGTCGAGTCAGTCTCGCTCTCGCTCTTTGGTACGCTGCCGAATCGCCGCCTGCTTTGCTGCCTCGACGCTCTTTGTTTACTTTTTTTTGTTTGGAACAAGTTCGCCGATTAAACCTTTATTTTCCAGTTCACTGTTCGTCCTCTCGTCACCTTCATTCGTATCAGTATAAATCTGATCACATTGTAATATGGTTCATTGGCCTCTGAAATCTCCGATAACGGCGCACAGGCAATTTTATATTTTTCAACGCGTCGGTGGTTTGGTTGTGCATGTGTCTCGCCATTTGGCTCAGGACGATTTTCGCGTTTTGTTCTGCCCACATTTGCTGGAGACGTGAGCTCGGAGCGTGGCAACTGGCCCCCTTGCACGAGAACTGGCGCAGCCGTGCGCGTTCCAAAGAAAGCTCGTGCAGAGAAAACCAAGCAAGGGACCAGGGATGTCAAATTCTGGATATAGAAGAATATCCAACTGTATCGAAGCGCCACCACACACGATTTCATGGATTGACGTACAGGCCTGGAAGGCGATCCCACCGCCATCTGTTGGTTCAGAATCACACTAACCAGGGGTAGGGTTGCACCTTAATAGACCGATCTCACCAAACGTTTGGCGCATGCGTGACGCCGCCATAACTGTAGTTCGCAGGAGGCAGGCAGCAGTGCACAAGACGGCTCGTGCCGCCTCATGCTCCACACACGCAGAGCTCCAGCGAGGTTGTCGCACGTGCAAAAAGACTAAAGCTTTCTCGATGCACTGCGGCAGCGGTGGCGTAGTCAAACTGGCGCTTGTGAGATCGGTCTATTTCAACTTAGCTTCGCAAAAAATGGAATATACGAGTGCAGTGATTCAATAAGTGCCTTTCAAAGAGGCGCGTGACCCCCGCGCCGCCGAGGGAAACTTTTTCGGGGCGCGCAGTCAGGTGCCTGACTTCTAAAGCCCCTTCATGTTTTACAATAAACGCAAGGTGCATCGATGTACCAGGGACGTGCCACGTACAGCCCTTAGGAAGGCCACAACGTATAAAATTCTGAAATCTAGCTCAGAGTGCAGCTCTGAGCTAGATTTGAGAAGCCGTGTTCTTTTCAGATGTGGCGCGCGGCACGATTCTCGAGCATTTCCCCAACAATGAATGGAGCCACTTTTCCTAGAAGAGAGGAGCTTTACCTGAATTCGACGCTCCTATCGGCTCTACGCGATCGAAGACTTTATCGGTTGGCAAGTTACGCTGAAACGGTTGACATTCCGCAGGAATCTCTGACCTCCTTGACGCATTTCGCAAAAAGTTAGAGATATCTGGCGAACACAAAAAGGGCACGCTTCGATCAGTGCTCAGTACTGGCCACGTACTCCACGCAAGATGCGCCTGGGCATCTTCCTTGCCGTTGTGTCCCTGGGCATTCTACACCGGGCCTCGTCGGTCCCACACGGGGTATTGCCCCCAAGTGCGTACGCTGTGGGACTTGACACTTCCCTCCAGCTTTCTAAGGCACCAGCCGACGAATGCAAAAACGTTTCTTCGCCAGGCAGTCAGAAATGTGGAACAAAGACGGTGACCCACGAGAAGACTGAGATTATCATCGAGAAGACAGTGGAAACCGAAATCATAAATGGCGGTAAAGCTCAAGAATGTAAAGGTTGCCCCGACATTGGGACAACGACGAACGCTCCTGTTACAACACCTCCGACTACTCCGGTGCCTTGCACGTCAACGACACCTCAGACACCAACCGTTCGAACCACACCTTCCATGTCCACAACTACGGCGCCTCCGACTTCACCAACAACGCCCCCGCCAAGGAAAGACCCCGTGACTAGAAAAACCCTCGGCAAGTGCAACCCCGTCAACTGCAAGCTTCCCAACTGCATGTGCGAGAGCACGACACCTCCGGTAGACGACATGCCTCAGTTCGTGATGCTGACCTTCGACGACGCTGTCACGAAGACTAACATGGAGTTCTACCGGGAGCTTCTTGATAATCCCAAGCGCAAGAACAAGGCCAGCGGTTGCCGCATCGCGGCCACTTTCTTTGCCTCGGGCGACTACCTTGACTACCCGTCCGTGAACGAGCTCCACAGGATGGGCAACGAAATTGCGCTACACTCCATCAGGTAACTTTAATCCTCCGTTCTTACACTTCAGCAATTTTTTTGTAAAACAATACGTGCTTTTTTTTTTCAATATCGAGCAAAGGCAGTGATAACACAGATTGTGATTCAGCGTCGAACTAGAAATTACAGAGCCGCCGTTTCTGGCACCGAGACAACTCGGGTACCATAACTGCATGAGCGAGACACGCCTAATGGAGAATAGGAGAGTCGCGCCGGCGGCCTTCTCGTAAAGGGCCTTATCTAGAAAGAAAACCGAAGTGTCCAGATAAGAAATAAAAGTTCGCTCGCGCTCGGCAGCAGCAACACTGAAATCCTGGCGCTCGCTTGTTTAGCGCGTGCAAGGCGTATAGAGCGTGTCGGTGGCTTCGCTCTATCTGTGACTGCGTGACGTGACCCGCGGGAGTACCTCGGATCACGGTGAAACATACAGGATGATGTTTTTTTTTTTTTTTGAGCAGATTTGTTAAAAAACAATGCCTTGAAGGTCCTGCTCCCCAGCGGCTGAGACGCGCAACACACGTTCACCCAACTTCCCTCCATGCTTCGAGGGAGGCGAGGGGTGGCTTCGCGCTGCGACCGCCGGGGGGCAGGACCGCGGGCTCAAAGGTGCGCTCCGATATGAAAGCGAAACCTAGAAACGCCTCCAAATTGAGCGTTTTTACGGAACGCCGTAATATACTGCCCCAGCATCATATCCTTCTAAAACTAGTTAATTTAGTGGTTTTCGATGACGCTGAGCAAGTTTCAAATTGAAACCATATGTCTATTTTTATTAATTAAAAGTTAATTAACGAATCTTAATTAATTAGCTGACTGATCGTTACGATTAGCCCCTTATACTCGGTACCCCTGGCTGTGTAATTCACCCGCGCCAACCGCATAAGTGTAACTTTCACGGCTTTTTTCAAACAAATTTTTTTTAAGTTAAAAAATATTGAGGTACACCGAAGCATTCCTTATGAGTTGTGAATGCGAAAACATGCAAGTCGCTCGTCCGCTCCCTTTTTCGTCTGCTGCGTACTTTTCGCCGCCGGTTAGCGCGTGTGCTCCCCTGCGCACGGTGACCTTGGACGCTCCGTGTTAACGGCGCGCTGATGGACACGCAGCGCCATGGGGTGAGCGGTCGTGGAAACTGACGAGCGCAGCGGCTAATGGGAGCCCCGTCGACGCGCGCCAGCCAACGGAACCGAAGGAAACTAGGTGCCGTTTTCGCGCTTCAAACTGATGACGTCAGCTCGCTCCATGAGACAGTTAATGCTTCCGCATTAAAGGGAAGCTACGGAGCTTCTTGAAAAAAATGAGTTCGAAGTGAATTCTAGTGTATTTTTTGCCCCCTGAGCCCAAATACCCGAACCATTTGCTGCGCAGCTATTGTCAAACGCGAGAAAACGCGAAAGACAGTCGCTGTCCGTGACGTCATCGACGGATCTTTCAGCTGCCCAAGGCTAGGGAGGCGGGGCTTCAGCCCTATTTTGAAATTCAGAGCCGTTTATACTGAGAGAGTTTGGCCTTCTTAAGGAGATTTTGACAGTCTGACAACCACAGCAGCGTAGTCTGACAACCGGGGGATGACTACTTCCGTCCGCCATATTGTGGCCCTGACTCATAGGAACTCTACGCGATTTCTCAGGAATGAACAAGACAAAGAAGTAACGCCATATTGTGTTATCGCGAAATCCGCTTGTTCTAGCGGCCAACAAGCTCCGCCCATCGGCCAAACTCTCTCAGTATAAACGGCTCTGTTGAAATTGCTCTTATGGCTCCGCGGCGCGTCGAATTGAAACATAATTTTAATATCTGTTATTCCAAAGGCCAAATGAACGCAATTCAAGTGTTTTTTTTTTTTTCTCAAATGCAGAAGTGCCCCATCTTCTCGTTAAAAACACCTTGTATTTAGGCGCTTTAAACACGCGCCAAATTACAGTCGCCATTGCTGACCTTCTCTTGCCTTACTGGAATAGCGAGCCTCCAGAAAGGTCATTGCTGTGAAAAAGGACAATTAATGTAGAATCTAAAATGGAAATAACCTGGCCTGCCGTGATAATGATGAAGTGAAGGAAACGGAATAGGAGGAATAAAAAACTGAAGGTCAGTAATGGCGGCGCCCATGCACAGCTGCTTTAAATCGTCTATAGGTGTAGGCACCCCGGGCGTCGCAGCTGCCAGATAAAGTCCTCTGATCGCCTTCCAGGCTTCCTTTCTTTTCAACGCTTCTCTCTCTCTCTCTCTCTCTCTCTCTCTCCTTTGATCGCCTTGGTTGCAAGTGGCGCCACCAGATGGCTCTCCTCAAAACGCGGCTAATCAGAGCCGTTTATACTGAGCGAGTTTGGCCTAGTTAAGGAGATTTTGACAGTCACGTTTTCAGCGTTAAAAGACCTAACACGTTTCACAACGGCGAAGCAAGCCACATCACAGAATATGAGATTCCAAAACTACATAAACTAGAAAGGAACTGTCATCGGCAAAGTTTTTTTTAAAGTTCCAACATTGGCATTGTCTTTTGTGGCCACCATTCTGCAGGGATTCTACAGCTTCCAACAAAGGGCACACTTTCGAACACTGATCTCCGCTATAGGGGGCCAGATGGCGCATTGAGCAGACAGGCATGAAGCCAAAGGGAGTAAGAGGCTTGGCCCGGAAGTAAGCGCTTGACAGGCTTTTCAACTCTTCCGAGTGCTGAATCGAACAGCGTTCAGGGCGCTGGATTTTTTCTTGTCATCCCAAGAGAGCCTGCTAGTTGCAGAGTAACAGCGCATGCGGACCCGAGAAGTATCCCCGGAAGCCATTGGATATGAAAATTTTGAGATTCTAGTTGATCAAGTGTGCGTATGTCCCACGTTCAAATGCCTCATTCTCAGGATATAATTCATAACGGGAGTATTAAAACCCAACTGAAACACAAAAAAAAACGTCGACCATAATATCGACTGAATGCACTAGGAAGCTTAGCACACGCCCGACTTCCGGGACAAACATCGAACTTCCGGTGGCTTCACTTGTGCCAGGCTCGGAAAGAAGCTATGCGCCATCCAGCCCCCTATACTGGACATCAGTGCTTTCGAAGTGGGTTCGATCACAATTATGAATTCTCGACGAAACAGTCATTGTCACGAGCCCCAAATCGAGTGCTCACGCTGCGCTCGTGCACAATCTGCGAGGCGCGGTGGACTAAGTCCACGCTGCACCTGCGTGATACGTTATCCAAATACTTCACTAGGGGGAATACATTTCACTCCTCTCAAATACAATAGCCTCGGCGCTGACAGGCTTTCTGGGCTTGGCGAGAGCCATCTATCGTCGGGGAGGTCTCGGCTATCGATGATATTGATGTTCTACATACCAAATTCATTGTTGTGGCAATGCGCGAGACACGTGCCGCGCGCCACTTCTAAGAATAACATGGCGTCTAAACTCTAGTGGTGCGCTTAATACTTCGCTGCGCTGTGCCGCCATGATCTTCCCATGGGTCGCACGTTCCACCGACGCACCTTGCGCTACTTTTGAAACATGAAGGGCTTTTAGGTGGAATCGGAGACGACACCGCCGCGGCCGCCGGGAACATCCACGTGCACTTGCGCGTGGACTGACGCGGACCTCCACACCGTCAGGGCTGGATTCGGCGCTGTAGACGTTCTGTCTAATGCAAATGAGCAGAGTGGAAAGTATTCCCCCTAGTAAAGTATTTGCGTTATCACTCATCAGGTGTGGCGAAGGAGAGATTGATAGAAAAGTCCGTGTTTACTCTTGATATTACGCCTCGACAAAGAAGCGCCTTGGTCAGTGGAGTTTTGTGCAAGTATACCTAGGTCCCACTAGTGCCAGGAAGCCTGCGTTAAGTCAGAAACGTTTCAACTCAGTATTGTTCCATGGCTGACAGTGACACACCTTACTTTTCGTACAATTTCTCTAGTATTCACCTTTCCGCCCATGTTCCTGCCCCTTTGGCGTTAAAGATCACGGGAAATTTACTTTAATATACATATTTTACCTTTCTCTCTCTCTATATATATATATGTAATTTCCTCTCTCTCCTTGTGTTTCTACACCAACCTTCGAACTTGACGTCCGTAAGAGATGAAAAGTCAGCAGGGTCACAGCCACTGAAGCAAATCACAAAGCCACATTGATACTGCTCAACGATGTTAAGGAAAAAAGACCGGTACAGACATGACAGATAAATCTGGACACGTCTAAAGCATGTACGAAACATGTTTGCTTCATGCATATCTACGCTTCGAAGATGTCTGCAGAGAGTTTCTTTATAGCCAATACGGCAGCAGAACCTTCGAATAAGAAAGAAACATGCCTGAGACGGTGTCTGCAAATTGTATTTTGTATGATGCATTGGCAGTCTGGCCGCGGCCTGTAGACCATGTGCAAAAACAAAAAGCGCTGTCTAGTCTGCTAATGATCAACTACCAAGTTTCCGCCCTATCGGCGGTTTTCCCTACCCATAGTTGAGCCCAACGGCCAGCGGTCATGAAAAAGCAGGAGCCGAAAGTCTAAAATCTGGCCACGTGCTGCCAGCCCAGTCCAAAACATTCGCACCACGTTTCTGATTAAAAAAGGAATCATGTACTTACGCGTATTGCACATTTTATTGCTTCGCTGACGAATGTTGTTACCTCGTTGCTGACTTTTAAACTCCACAATCTCGCGGCCGTTTCTTTTTTTTTTTTTTCTTTTATTTACAGCGGAGCTGTTAAGGCTAGTTTCCCCAGTATCGTTTCCGTCAGCAAACAAACGATGACACAAAACTCTGGACAGCTACCGCCATCTATGAGCGAACTGGCAGCCAGACAACTGGCTTGCCGGTTGTTTGGTTGCCGCCGTCGCTCATAGATGGCGATATCTGTCTAGCCTTTCCACTCTGGCTTGTCGACCTGCGGCCGGCCACTACTTCATTCCCACCATAGTACAGCGGTTCAGCTTCGCTGGTCTTCCTCCTTCACCAAAATGGAAAGGCTGAAAGCTTTTTTTTAATTCCACCGAAATTAAGT